ATCAGAAGGATGTGCTGAAGTGCTCCCGGACCGAGGGTCAGTAGTGGGGGTCCCCCGGCCACGGCCATCAGAAGGATGTGCTGAAGTGCTCCCGGGCGGAGGGTCCGCAGAGCTGCCGCTGAGACCTTTCACCTCCCTGGGCTGTTCCCTCCCCTGTACTGTGTGAGAATTAGATTTATTCCCAGCTCCCAAACCTGGCGATGCATCTGAGTTGCTTGGGGGACCTTGTCAAAAATACGGATTTCCAGGCTCTTCCTCCCCACCCCAAAACTGCTAGACTAGAAATTCTTGAGGTTTGAGACTTCCCTTAATTGATGCTTTGGCAGCCAGCCGAGACCCGTCCTGGGGCGGAGACCACACCTGGGCTGATCTTCTCAAGCTCTGAAGCAAACCCCAGTCACCCAGGATCCTGTGGAGACGCCAATTCAATTCAGTGGGTCTGGGGCGGCCTGAGGACCCCCCCCCCCCCGCTAGTGAGCTCCAGGGGAAGTGATTCGCTGCTCTGAGGACCTGCCCCCCTGTGCTCTCTGCAGTGCCTCCCAAATTGGATAATCAGTGAGGCCTTTGGGAAAGCAATAGGCGGTTATCGGTGGAGAAGCAGAGTTGCCGATCTGAAAAGTGGCGTGATGCTGCTCTAATCTGAAATGACTGTCACTGCCTAGGAGAATCTTCTAGAAGATGAGGCCCATGACCCTGGACCACAAAGACCGACATGCACTTTGTACAGTATCCGGGAAGGGAACATTCTTTTACCCGAAATAAAATGAAATCCGTGCCATAGGTGAGGCGTTTGGAGCTGAGTTTCTCCTGAGTTTCTGTGCAGTAGAAACTTTTTCCTCACCTGTCTTTCCCTGCCCCTGCGGAGGTTCGAGGCGACCAGCCAGCCGCTTCAGACGTTAGCCTTTCAAGTTGCTGCCCTTGAGCCGCATTGCCCTGAGTGCTCCAGCCAATCTGGAAAACAGTTCTGCAACTTGCTGATAAAGTTAAACAGACGCTTATCATCTGACCCGGTAATCCCACTCTTGGGTATTTACAAAAACATGTGTCCATATGAAAAAAAACATACCTGAGAGTTTATAGCAGCCAGATGCATGTGCACCAAAAACCAGAGGCAACTCCAAGGCCCCACAGCGAGCAGACGGGTAAACAAATTGTAGTTGTGGGCTGGGACAGAACTCTCCTCGGTGACCGGAAGACACACCGTGCATGCACACAGCAGGGCGGGCGAGCCCCCAGTGCGTTGTGTGGGTGAAAGAAGCCGGACTCGCTGCAGGACACGCCGGGGGATGCCGCCAGCATGACCGATCGCCTGGAAGAGACAGACCGAGGCCGAGGAGGGGCCGCGGGGGGCCCGGGGCGAGGCGTGCTGAGCTTGCAGAACCCACACAACCTCACACCAAAACCGCAGGTTGTGCTGTAAATGCAGAAATAAAGTCTTTCAAAAATGGAAATGGTAAATCACTTTCGTGGAAATATAATAACAGATAAGTAGGTTAAAGCCAGGGAAGGAGGAGGAGAAGGAAAGGGAGGAAGTCCCCTCCTCTGATGACAGAAAACGTGGATCTCTATTTCAAAATGGCCCTATTCGGGAATATTTCAAATAAAGATTAACAGGGCAAAAAAAAATGTGTGTGCCACAGCCAAGTTGGAACCCTCCCTTACCCTTAACCTTTTCCCCTCTGTTGGCCAAAGTTCTTTTTCATAACAGACCAGCTCAGTACAACACCAACCTCAAGAATAGTTTTCTTTCATGCGAGTGTGTTTAGTCTAAATGCAAAATGGATATAGTGCCAGTTCCGTTCCTGGTCTGTGCCACTCTCACCAAAACGGTGCTCTGCACGCCCGCCGGCCTGGGGGATGACCTCGGCAGGGAGGCCGGCATCTGGAGGCCCCGCACACGGGTGTTTCCTGCACCGCCCCCCCCCCCGCGCCCCTGTCTGCAGGCAGCATTCCTGGGGCTGTTGCCCAATCGCAGGGCAAGGACAGAAGCTCTCGGGGCCTACTGGGAGTCACATCACCCTCGAGCGTGACCTAGGAGTATGATCAGGGGAGACCAGCGAGGGATTGCCACGTGCAGATGACACGTGGAAATGAAAGAGTCTGCCGCCAAGGCCGTCTGTGTGGACAGCTGTTAGTTACTGTGGTTGCAGGATTTGGTAACTCCAGCATCGCCTCCTACCCCAGTTGTCACTTTCTGATATGGACGTGTAGCCGAGAGCCCTTGTGTCACGAACTCATAAGGACAGAAAGGCCGCTCGATGAGGAGGCTCCGGGCACTAATACTGTATTCCGTGCAGTCGGTGCTCAGTTAGAAGGAGCGTTTCCTGCCAGTGGGCGGCCCGTGGCCCCAGAGTCTGCCCTTCCAGCCCGTTCTCGGCTGCCATCTGTGCTCCCGGGGCCCTGGGCTCATCCACACGCCACTCCACGTCTTCTTGGAGGACAAGAGCCTTGGGAAATCTTGTCGGTGTGTTGGGCAAGCGACCACGTTTAGACAAACAAAATGTATTTATTGCTGCAAGCCAGGGAAGGCTTTCCCAGATCAACTTCTCCAACATATGCCAGGCAGAATCACATCCAGACTATAAAAAGCGTGGCCTCACGTTGGGGTAAAGGCCATCGAGTGTGACGGCCCACGTGTTGCCTATTTTTAGAATAAGGAGCAGAGTTTCCAGACATTTTGCTCCTATGGGTAGGAACCAGGAGATGACCCATCGTTTCTCTGCTTTAAAATGTGAACCCGTCCAAGTCAGATCAATTCAGGTAAAACTGTAGAGCAGCATCTCAGTAAAGGTGACGCGTCTGGTTTTGTTCTTCATGAAGACTGTGCCCCGTGGAGGCGAGGGACGTCCTGGACCTGTCTTCGGCTCCTGAACCTGGTTTGGTCCTGACCCGCTTCCGGGTCTGCGGCTCAGCGGGTGGGTGCTGGACGGCTCCCCTTTCTGTCCACCTTGCGCTCCACAGACCAGATTCCAGATGCGGACTCCGGACAAGGCCTTCATTTGTGTGGGTTTGTTTTTTGTTGTTGTTGTTTTCATTTCCCTTGCAGAAAAAGCTTTGGACTTAGTGTTTTTTAACAAGGCATTTTGAAAGTGTCCGCTCTTCTTTCTTTCCAAAACATTATCTATCTTGTAAATTCACTTACAGAGATGTACCAGAAGGACTTGGTCGTGTGAAATGTGCCTATGAACGTCAGGCCTTATCTTCTGAAACTCTGCTTTTCTCCTTTTCTGTTTGTCCCTTTGTTTTTAGGATATTTTATCACCATAGCTTTTCCATGCAATTCAGTGAATACTGACAAATGAGTATAGCTATGTAGTAACCACCAGAATCGCGATATGAACCGGGTCCATTCCCTCCCTCCATCCCCACCCCTGGCCACCACTGCTCTGTTTCCCGTCCCTGGTTTTGCCTTCTCTTGAATGTCGCGTAAATCAGATGACAGCATAGCGTCCTATCAACCGGACGGGCGGGATGTGCTTCCCTCTCTTAGCGGAATGCCTCTGGATCCGTCTTCACCGCTGTGCTCATGAGGCTAAGCGGTGGCCCGCTGTGTGAACGTACCAGTTGGTCCACTCATCAGCCAGTAGACATTCAGGTTGTTTCTGGGGTTTAGCTAAAATAAATCGAGCCACTATGAACGTTTACCTACAGGTCTTACAGTAAGCGTACGTTTATAAGAAACCGCCACGCTTTTCCAGAGAAGCTGCCCCATTCTGCATCCGCACCAGTGGGTTCCTCCACATGCCCTGCAGGACCCACGTGGTGGTCTGCCTCTGTGATCCGGGGCCACAGTTGTCCTTACCGTGGACCCACCTGGTGGCTAGCGGAGCAGACCTGCTTCTGTGCGCTTGGTTTCCATCTGCTCACCTTCTCTGAGCAAGCCCCTGTTCAGATCTCACTTGGGTTGTCTCTTATTCTTGGTTTCTGGGTGTCCTGTCTGTATTCTGGACAAAAATCATTTATCAGAAATACGTCCCCCAGTCTGCGGCCTGCTCCTTATTTCTTGACAGTATCTTTACGATCAAACCTTTCAGTGTTTTCAACGTTTTTCTTATATGGTTCATGATCTTTGTGTCACATCCAGAAATGTTTGCCTAACCCAAAGTCACGAATACTCTTCCCTGTGTTTTCCTCTAGAAAGATTAGAGTTTTAGCGCTTATGTTCAGGCCTACAACCCATGTTGACCACACGTTTGTACGTGGAGCAAGGTCAGGGTCAGGGTCTGTTTCCTTACACGCCAGTGTGTCCCCTTTGCCCAGATCTGCTGCTACGATCTGTACCAGATGGTTCTGGAGAGCAGGAGTCCCAAGGCCCGTACAATCCCTCCTCAGATAGGTGGGATCCTTAATCTGGAATAGTACCGCGGGCGGGGCTGATGTTCTCTTATATCAAGTAAGAAACTCTAGACAAAAGGTGGCAGGTTTAGCATGAGCTCCGTCCACTTCCCGTGGATTAGGCAGCTGCCCCTTGTTCGCTGGCTGTTGCTGTGTAGACACCGTGCAAACACCTCCACGTTACCGTTAGCTTGGAACACGGTGTTCCTTCATCCTGCCACGGTCGTCACAAAAACTGCTCACAAATGGTTAATGATTATCCCTAAGAAGCGTGGTTCATTCTAACTGGTGTTTTGGATCCCGAAAAAGCAGTCCTTCCCAGCTTCTGGGCCGTTTTACGTATTTTCGAATGAGCTGGGGCTTGGGCTGGAATCCCCAGAGGGTCATGGAGAAGGGCAGCGTCGGGAGGGCCGGGAAGGCCTGGGACGCACTGCCAACAGCTGAGGAAGGGAGGGGCTGCCCAGGGGACTGGAGAGGATATGGGGTGTCTGCGGGGGCCCGCTGCCCATAAAAGGCAAGACAGGAAAAGCAGACTTCAGAAAGAGAAGGGATTTCCTACTATTCACGTGTTGGCCAGTAAGTCATGAAGAGCTTGTTCTACCAGGAAAATACTGTACATAAATTAAAAATCCTGATGTTCAGTGAAGCGGGCTTTGTCCTTGGAAACATTCCTCTTTATCCGTCCCTGACAGAGGAAGCTCTTTTTACCCTCCTCCCCACTGTGTCCTGTAAGGCTGATAAGCTACGGATAGAAACAGGCACCCCTTGGAGTTGCATGAATGGGAGACGACCCTTGCCAGGCCCGGATGGTCATCAGTCCTGCTCCTGTATGTCAGGATCTGGAGGTCCGGAGTCATTCCACGTGTGCCCATAGCTGGGGATAGTCTACCTTTTCTCGGAAGTGAACACTCCACGTGCAGGAAAGCTCAGTAAGTGTCTCAGGGCTTGAAGTGCCTTCTGTCCACAGCCGTGGTATTTAAGCAATGTGGATTCAAGTCTGGACTCATTCCCTCCGCCTTTGCAGACTTTGGCTTCCAAGGCTGACCCCGGATCCCACACATACTCCCGTAGTGGTTTTAAGAAGGGAGAGGTGAGGAGCAACCATCCATCCTCCCAGGGATCAAAGTTTATTCTGGTCTGTTGCAGACAGGACCCAGAAAACTGAATTAGAAATAGTCCTTAACACACATAAATATTACACTTTCCTCTGCCTGGTGCAGGAAGAGGAACATTTCTTCTAAGATCCAACTTAATGCTTGAGATTTTTATTAAAAGATACCAGTCCTTCTATAAGAATGTCAGGAAAGGAAGGAGGGTGGTATCAGGCAGTGATCCTCACACTTTACTGCACAAAGTAACCTCCTGGGGGTCGTGTTCACTGCAGCTCAGGAGGGTCTGGGCGGAGCCTGAGACTCTGCATTTCTCGCAGGCTCCCAAGTGGTGCTGATGCAGCTTGGGGATTGCCCGCTCCCATTACTCCCAGCAGTGTGTGATGGCAGATGGAAGGCTTGGGGATCGCCCACTCCCAGACCTGTGTGACACTTGGCTCTTTGTGCAGGACCTTCCTGAGCCCCTGTTGTCTCCTCTCAGGTGGGGGTCGTGGCCAGTATGCATGTGGCATGGGGGTAAAATGAGATAAGCATTTTTTTAAGACCTGTAACAGTGCTTCACCCCAGAAGATACATAATTAAATGGTGCTTATCTTTGTTCTGTTTCCCAGCAAGTAACACATGGATATGAATCAGACTGGTGGGCGAGGGTTACGGTACATGGTCTCTCCTTTCCACGGTGTCTGCTGGCTTTTGACAAACATTTTGTGGAAATACTTTTATCAAGTAGATTGCAAGAATCTTAGGAGCTTTAGAGATTTGTGCAGTTATTCAAACTAGAGTCCTACACTTCCTGGGGTAATTTTTGTTTTTAACTTCACTTCCAACAGAAGGAAGGGAAGAGCTGGAAATAGGTTTTCTGACTGTGACTTTCCCACTCAGGATGGAAGCTGATGGTCATTTTAGCAGAAAGGAAGGTCCTTCACTTCCAACAGAAGGAAGGGAAGAGCTGGAAATAGGTTTTCTGACTGTGACTTTCCCACTCAGGATGGAAGCTGATGGTCATTTTAGCAGAAAGGAAGGTCCTTTTCGTTCCTTGGTCATTCCAGCCGCTCTTTACAAACACACTAGGTGCCCGGGCGGGCAGGATATCCTCGGGGAACTCTCAGACCTGATGACTGAAACATGCATAGCAAGGTCCTTGACCTTGACGTCAATGCCCCTTTAGCCACAGCCGCACAGGGTGTGTCCTATGGGCAAGAGCGAGTGTCCAGTCCCCGGGGACGAAGGTTGAATTCAGACTCTTCCTGGCCCTTCCCCAGGGCGGAAGCTGGGTGGAATTTGTGAAATGTTCCATCTGTGAGAAGCTCAAGATAATCTCTTCAGAATGACACCATCTTCACACCCACTGCGATGCCTATAATTCTGAAAAATGGAAAAAAGCAAGTGCCAGCAAGGACGTGGCACAATTTGGAACCTTCACACATTGCTGCTGGGAATGCACACGGCACGACCACTGTGGAAACCAGCAAGGCGGGGCCTCCAAAAGTGAAACAGAATTGCCAGAAGGTGCAGCGATTCCCTTCCTAAGTTTATACCCTGAGGAGCTGAGAACAGGTGCTCCAGAAATAACCGTGTGTGCGTACCCACCGCGGTACTGTCCACAGCAGCCCTCAGGTGCAAACACCCTCAATGTCCGTCAACGGACCAATGGACAAACCGTGGTCATCCGTCCACTGAATGAAAGCGAATGCAGCACTGGGAGGTGCTCCCACACGGAAGAACCTCAGAAAAGTTGTGTTAAGTGGAAGAAGCCAGGCACCAAAGGCCGCATACTGTGACTCCGTGTACTGGAAGCACCCAGAGTGGATAGAGCCCATCAATACCGAGGGCAGATGCCAGTCTGCCTGGGGACCAGGGGCTGGGGGGGTAGGGGCGGTGGGGAGTGACTGCTTGGTGGGTATGGGGTTGCCTTCTGGGGCGATGGAGATGTTTTAGAACCAGACAGAGCTGGTGGATAGAGAGCATTGTGAATGTGCTGGGAGCCCTTTAAAATGGCTAGTCTTGTGGGAACTTCACAGTGACAGCATGCTCCAGAAAAGGAAAGACTGGTTTTATTCCCAAAGCCAGACTTCCCATCCGAGAAACAAAGGCTAAAGAGAAGTTCCCTGACAATGACAGGAAAGTGAGTACGTGATGTCGCTATCACTTTTCCCAGCAAAGGGAATCGAGGAAAAGGTGAACGAGTGCACAAGGAGAATGTGGGTTTTCATCTCGAAGACACATGCATTCTGCTTTGGTTGACAGCAGATGCCCCCTCCTAGTTGTCTGCGTATGATAATCCCCCCAGACGGAGATGAAGTTTGCAGACAGTAACAAGGACGGTGCTAAGGAACAACACTTTATCCCCCAAAGGGTGCTCATGTAAACACTGACAAGCTACAAGCCTCACCGTGATTAGGGGCATTTGAAGGCTTAGGGGTGGACTGCGTCATCACAAGACGGTGATAGTCTAACAGCTGCAAACAGAACTGAGCACAACTGGGGGAAGGGAAATCCATAAAAATGGGAGTCAAAGCCTGTTTTGTCCCCAAACTTACAGCAAATGTAGCCAGCAGAGGCCCCTGAGCACTAGCCTAGGGTGAGCCTAGGATTCGTGTTTCCAAGGTCGGACTGCCCACCTTCCAGCACAACCCTCCTCAAGGAGGAGGGGACAAACAAGGGGCCACGGCCCCCTGTTCCCCCATTCTTTGAAGATGTGAAATACCCCGGCTTCACCACTATGTACAGTACTTGTGCTCAGACTGACTATTTGGTGATTTCTGCCTTGACTGGACCCTCTGGAACACATGGAGGGTAGAGCAGGAGAACCCGCCGACTCCAAAACTGACCTTGGCCCATAGGGAGCCCTACGGAGACTTCCCATAACTCCCCTTTGTTGGAGGAGGTGGGGATCCCAAGCTTTGGGGTAGATCACATCCTTCAACTCTACCTTAATCTCCATCCGTATCTTCCACCCCAGAGAAATTCCTCTCCACTTCCCCACGCCTGGGCCCCACATCCGAAAGGAGTGGGCAGTGTAGGAAGGGTACCGAAAATCAGAGGTGAGAGCCCCATGCCCCTCGGCCAGGTGAATAATAGTCCGTGGCATGGATGGACCCCGTTGTGTTTATCCCTCGTCCTCCAGCAAACGCTGTGCTTCCGCCCCTTGGCTCTTGTGGAAGACGCCGCGGTGAACACGGGTGTGCAAATACAGGTTCATGTCTCTGCCTCCAGCTTGTTTGAGTATTACCCCCGAAGTGGAACTGCTGGACCGTAGGGCCGTTCTCTGTTTCATTCCTAGAGGAACTGCTACGTGCTCCCCGTCGCTGCAGCATTCCACATTCCCAGCACAGGGCTCGGGGCTCCGACTTCTCCACATCCTTGCCTGCTCAGCATTTTGTCTTTTTTTGATAACAGCCGTCCGTGTCCAATGGCTATGGGCATAGATCTTTATAGGCTCCAGGAACCTGTAATTCTGCTCTGTGTGTGTGAGTAGTGTGTGTGCAGACAGGGGAGAAGATCAAATCACTTGGACGTCTGGGGATCATTGTGATACCTGGTGCAGGACACAGTTCTACACCGGTCACGTGCATTATAGTGAGATAGAGACAATCTTAGACATTTGCTTGCAGTTTTCTTTTTAACTGAAAATACTCTTTTAAAAAAGCCAAGTAAGTTGATTCCTTCATCCCAACCCAATACTAGCATTTTGCAGTAACATCACTTATTCTGGGGTGATTTTTTCTCACATTTAACATGCCTTTTTCTTTTTCAACTCTAGGTCTTGTCTTAGCCAGAAATCACTCTGTTGCAACTCTGGCAGGAGATGGAAGTTGACATAGAATGTTCTCGGAACGTTGTAGCTCTTTGAGAATGAAAAGCGTGGTTTCAAAAGCAGCCCAATGGAAAATGCACGTCTGGAGTGACCAATGGTGACTGAACTCTGTTGTTTCTGCAGGGCCAGCCCGGGCCAGTGGGCCCCCAGGGGTACACCGGGCCCCCAGGCCTGCAGGGATTCCCAGGACTACAGGGCCGCAAAGGTGACAAGGGCGAGCGGGGGTCACCCGGGATCACAGGACCGAAAGGAGACGTGGTACGGTGACTGCTGGGCCTCCCTCCACTTTTGTGACGGGCGGTGGGCATCCCGACCTTCGGTAAGTTCGTCCGCCTTCTTTACAGGGAGCGAGAGGTGTTTCTGGATTCCCTGGTGCCGACGGAATTCCCGTAAGTGTCTTCTGCGGTTGGGATGTTAAAACATGGTACTCATGCTAAGCAATAGGTTTAGGACTTACAGAAACGTCTCTGACCAGGCCTCCTGTTCTGTTTGCCCCACGAGCCTGGCAGACTGTACGTGCATCCTTTTGCCCCGGAGCCCGGTCAAATATCGGACAGATTGCTTCCTTTGTAAACGTTCCTCTGGACTTGGCCTCAACATCCAAGCTCCTTTGCCGAAGCCAGACATTGTTTTGTAATAAAAAGCTAGAGTGTTGCTCAGATATGCTCAATAAGAGCCGGCCTCGAAATTTCACTGGATCCTGCAGACAGAGCAGCGCAGCCGAGAACACGGATGTGATGAAGCCCTGCCGAACATTCATGCAGCTTCCCAAATTCTCTGAAGTCAATCCACACAGAAACGAGAAGACAAGATAGGCTTCGTCCATGAGAAAATCTCCAAATGCAATAAAATGTGTTTTTCTAACCCAGTTGACTTTACTCCTTGTGGCATACAAAAATAAACAGAGCAGCTGCCTCCCAGCCTCCTTCACAAGGACCCGCGAGGAGATTTCCCAGGGTCCACTTCCTGCAGATCCCGGCCGTGGAGATAGATGTGTTTATCACACACGCAGCCGTCGCTGCTGAAGTCTGAGGACATCTGCTTCAGGAACCGTATGCACATGTCTGGGCCCTTAGTCCGCGCACCGTGTTCCGCGTCACCATGTTAACATGCACACACACACACTTTCCCGAGGCCGCTGCCTTGTAGGAGAGCGAGGGAAGGAGGGCGTGAGAGCCGTCACAGAGAGGGAGAGTTTGTCCTTCGGAGCCTGAGCTACACATCCAGGAGAAGGAAGCTCCCGGAGCTAGAGAGTGGAAGGCCCCGCAGAGACGCGAGGCCTGGGTCGCGGTGACCCCGTGTCACCTGGATGGGGGCTCATGCTCACCAGTCACAACACACAGCTGTGACCAAGTAAGGAGGTCACTTTCCCATTAGTCAGAATCTTTTTTTTTTTTTTTAAGATTTTTTATTTATTTATTTGAGAGAGAGAGAATGAGAGACAGAGAGCATGAGGGGGGGAGGGGCCGAGGGAGAAGCAGACTCCTCGCTGAGCAAGGAGCCCGATGCGGGACTCGATCCCGGGACTCCAGGATCATGACCTGAGCCGAAGGCAGTCGCTTAACCAACTGAGCCACCCAGGCGCCCCTCCCATTAGTCAGAATCTTGAGAAATGGGCAGAGGTGAAGAATCTGTAGATTTCCAGGGGTAAACAAGGAGAGTATTTTCCTACCAACTGCCTCAAACCAAATCGCCCATTTTTAAACTGCTTCTTTGAGCTCTTAGGGCCACCCATCCATTTTGTCTTCTGGAAGTTGAAATCTGAGTTTAAATGGAGTGATCTCATGGAAAAATATTGTAACTCATCTGAATCATATTTCAATTTGTTTTTCCACTTCATAATCATTTAATATGAGGAGCAAATAGTTCAGAAGTTAGAGAGGAAGTATCGTGACATGAGGGAGTGATCGCTCGAGTGAGCATGGATCCGACAGGTTTCTGCAGGATCTCCAGGCTGCTCAAGACGGCCTCGCTCACTAGCCACAGGGCTCTGGAACAGCAAACGTGAGCTGAAGGGCCACCTGCCACCTCAGAGCAGCTCAGGAATGTGATGTCGAAGGACCGGGCTAATTTTAGCTGTTTAGAAGTCGGACATAAAACATGATATGCAGTCAGATATTAGAGGTGTATCTAATTAGATGCTGAGCCAATAGAAGCGGTCAGCTCAATATAACTAAAATTTTTCTTTGAAGAACAGTCTCAAACTAACATCAATTGGCGCACAATTTCAAATGAGTTAGATCGATTCTAAGAGGGCAACAAGGACCAGCAGCAGACAGATAAATCAGGAGCAGAGTGAAGAACTCAGTTTAAGGAAAGCATCATAGAATACCACAGATCACGAGCAGGACACCTACTGAGCTTGTTTTCTCCAGGCAAATTTGAAGGATCAGCTTTCGTGCCCCGCGATACACAGGGTGGTTGTGATGTCTCTTGTCCCCCAAGACGGCTGACTGGAAGTCTGCTATAGCTCTTCTTATCTGATGACGCTAGTCAAAGCAAGGGCTTTGGATATCTAAAGCAAAGAGATGTACACCCAAAGAAAAATTCACTTCTCTCGTCCTGTTTCTTAATATCATTCACGGTCCTGGCCCTCGGTGTGGGATTTGTTCATTTATCTTGAAATGTCCCATATTTCTCAAAGTAAATCTAAAAGGCATCCAACATGGCCTCAAAAAAAATCACTCTGGAATATACGTCTTGTCTGCTGTCAACAGAATCAAAATTTTAAAGAAACTAATAAGATAGCACATATCTGAGCATCTGCTGTGGGAAGAAACAGCACAATAAACTGTGGGTTACTAGCCCAGCCCCTGGATGTTGCAGGAACCGGACGAATGCAGGTGGGACGCCCACAGACTCAGCCTGACTGTCTCCAGTCATTCGAAAGACATTTGATCATATTGCCTTCCCTCCCCCACTCCCAACATCTCAGAACATCTGACTTGCTTTCTGTTCAAGTTTAAAACCGAAAAAGGTGTGTCCCCCCAAGAAAGCAAATGAGAGGAAGTCAGTTCTTCTGCATAGGGCGCAGTCACATTAAATCCCTTCCAGGGTGCATGAATCTTCCCCGTGTAGGATGTGGCTCAGCCAGACTCACCCTCTACAGCTCAGTTGGGCATGACATACAGAGGCACCCGGTTGTCCTTGCAGGACCTGGCTGCTTCTAGAATGTTTTCTAGAATTCCGAAGTCGACCGTGACCTGCCCCTGCTGAGACAGACCTCTCACTAGACCAAAGACAATTTACTTCTTCACCAGAGCCCCTGGGAAACAGAACTTTGTCTGGAAGGCTTTCTCCTGCTTAGAACTGTGCCCATGTGCCCCTGTTTACTTAATCTTCCATTCCTTCATCTGCTCGTTCTGGGTTATCTTTTCCCGTGGGTTCACGCAGAGTGGGAAGATACGGAGCTGTCTTATCACACTGCTCATGAGAACCACGGTGTGTGTGCTGGAAGGCTCACTTGCTTTTCTCGTCCCAGGGACACCCCGGGCAAGGTGGGCCCAGAGGACCGCCCGGCTATGACGGCTGCAACGGAACCAGAGGAGACGTGGGCCGGCAGGGACTCGTCGGCCCCGATGGGTTCCTCGGCCCTCCTGTGAGTACCGGCATGCACGGGCCGTCCAGCAGTGAGCTCCGGAAGCTAGCCGACTGGCCCTTGTCAGCAGAGGCCTGGAGGACGTCATGTGCCCCCCGCCGGTCCATCCAGAAGTCCCTTTTAGAAACTGTCCCAGAGAGACTTTCTAAGGAGGGCGGGTTGTCTCCTGTGGACCCCACGGCCGGGGCGAGCGGGCGGGCATGCTCCACCTGCTTCTCGCACCCCCAGGAAGGTCACTCCCCTGTCCTCAGTGGGCGGTCAGGATGAAGGAGATGTTCCTGCAGACATCTCGGTGTGATTTTCCTGGGTCCAAAGAACTTCGTTTTCCTTATTCATTCTGTAAACAAAATAGAAAATAATGGGCTTGGTTTATATGGTGCAATCTTACTGGGGTCACCGCATTCTCCCCCAGGCCACACTTGTAGTGACAGTGAGTAACAGTAGTAGCAAAACTCAAATAAAAAGGCTTACAGCTTGACAGAATGCCCTGTGAGTCACCATCTCATTAGATTCTAAAATCCTCTGTGATGTGAGAAACATTCTTCAGCCCTGACAGGTAGAAGCGAGCTCTTTTTAATGGAAGACGTTCTCGTAGTCACCTATTTTGTAGACTGTGTTCAGGTCTTTGCAAAAAATCTTGAAATGGTTTTCAGGACTATATTGTGACCCTCATACCTTCAAAGTATTGCAAAGTCGGGGTTATATCAACATCTTACTTGGTAGGAGAACGTTTTTAAGGTTGGGGAAGAGCAATCACGCATTCTTCCCCGTGTTTCCTGCAAAGCTAGTGGATTTCTCGCCCCCACCTCGCAGGTCCTCCTTCCTTGGCTGTCTTTTTTGTGTGGTTCAACTTCTCAACAAGGACCATCACTTTCTAGTCTGCTCTAATATCATGAAACTTTCATTATTAATAAATATGTCCATTACTTTAAAATACTGATATTTTTAAAGGTTTTATTTACTTATTTGAGAGAGAGCGAGCACAAGCAGGGGAAGCAGCAGTCAGAGGGAGAAGCAGGCTCCCCATTGAGCAGGGATCCCAGGACCCTGGGATCATGACCTGAGCCGAAGGCAGACATTTAACTGCCTGAGCCTCCCAGGCATCCCTAAAATACTGATTTTATCAGCAGGCATCAAAAGACAATTATACACATACGTATGTGCATACGCACCACGTATATTTGTCACGATTCCAGTTTAAGAGAATAACCCAGTATCTCTCCCAAAAATGGTGCTTCAGGGCATGTGTTAATATTTTTAACACCTTAATGCCAAAGAAAAGACAAAAACATGATTATGCAGGAAAAATGACGTGTTGGTATCCTAAAGGATTAGTTTACTGAGCATTTGTTTGGGTTTTTGGAAATAACGTAAATCCTATAAAATATTTCCATTTTAACTTTGAAGGAAGATACTAATGGGTAAATATAAAAGTGAAAGTCTCACCTTTGTGGCTAAATGTAGTGACTGGTGTTCAGAATAACCTAAATAAGCGATAGACATTGCCCGTAAGGGTCAATATTCAATCACCCAGATGACCACAGCTGCACTGAATGTTAACAGGTGTTTCTGTGTTTTCTCCGTCTCCTACATGTGTGCTACCATAGGGGCCCCAAGGACCCAAAGGACAGAAAGGCGAGCCTTATGCGCTATCCAGTGTGGACCGCGACAGATACAGGGTACGTTCGCTGGATACGGGACTCGAGACTGAGTAATCGGTGTAAACTCCTGATTAATGACGGTGCTTTCCAAGTATGGCTGAGTTGTGAGGATGCGAGAATGGGGGACACCTGGGGTGGCGGAACCGCCCAACACCATGATGAAGTTAAAAATCGTCGCTATCCCATCGGGGTGAGAGTCAACTGTGGGTGCACACCTTTCCCATATTCACAATGCCCCAGATTGGAGGTAACACTACCAAGTCCCTGGTTGTGATAAAATGTAACTAGACCTAAAAATTTATTTAAAAACCAGAACCCTTGGGGCGCCTGGGTGGCTCAGTTGGTTAAGCGACTGCCTTCGGCTCAGGTCATGATCCTGGAGTCCCTGGATCGAGTCCCCATATCGGGCTCCCTGCTCGGCGGGGAGCCTGCTTCTCCCTCTGACCCTCCCCCCTCTCATGTGCTCTCTCTCTCTCTCATTCTGTCTCAAATAAATAAAATCTTAAAAAAAAATAATAATAAAAAAAATAAAAAAAAATAAAAACCAGAACCCTTAACATGGTGTCTTCTTAACTAGGGTGAACCCGGAGACCCTGGCTTGGTTGGTTTCCAGGTAAGTTCTGTTTTTATTAGAGAATGTTCCAAGCAGAACTTTAAGAACTCAGGACTCCAAATACCAGTCTACCTTTCTTAACGGCCTACTGTTGCTGCCTGCCCTTAGGGACCCCCTGGCCGTCCTGGGCCTATAGGACAGATGGGTCCGGTTGGAGCTCCAGGAAGACCAGTAAGTACCACTCTTGGACCGCTGTGGAGGCGTCCTCTAGACATCCAGCTTCTTCAGTGTTGATGCGGGTGGAAGCTTCAGGATACAGCTGGGATGCTTGTGGTCACTCTAGAAAGTGTCCAGACAAAACAGGTCATCCTTTGCATACATTTTGGTACTATTAAGGATGAAGAATGAGGACTTGAAATTTGTGGGCACCAGATCACCACCAACCATGTCAAATTTTGACTTGGTGCTGGCTGAGCGCCCCTCCAGTGACACAGAAGCTCTCTCAGCCCTACACCCAGCCCGCCGACCAGGGGCCTGTTATCCCTGGGCAAAGCAGATCATAGTGCAGTCGGTGAATAAGGAGGTAGTGGGCTCTGCCCGGGCGTGGCCATCATCACGAGTGAGGTATTAGACATCAGTGAACAAAATGGCCCTAGTGCCCCACCTGAGTGGCGGTCTACGGGTGTTCCCTACCCTTGCAACTCGAATGACCGAGTGATTTGCAACAGGACAAATGCTGGGTGAAGGAGGGCTTGCAGCAGGGAAAGAAAGATCCGGAAAAAGAGGCCACATCCCCCACTGAGCAACGGTCCGGAGCTAAACCCACCCCCACCGGGTCTCTGACTCTCATTCCCCAGAAGTTTAGCAGTAAGACAGACGGGCCTCGAACAACATTAGGAGAGATCGGTCTCCAGGTGGAGAGGGACCTTCTTGCAGAAAGCCGTTGAGATGAGGATCATGTGGTCACAGGTTCTTTGCCTTCCTACTACACACCGTTGTCGGCTTGCTCACAGCTCGCACAGCAGCAGTGAGGGGGGTATTCTTCACATACACGGTTCAGGGAAATCCGCAACCACGGCTGCACCTGCCGTGTCCCGAGCTGATCAGACAGCTGCAGGTTCTGAAGCCTCATCCTGAGTGCCATGTTGACACTGAAGGTTTTGTAGAAAGATAGCAATGTTTGCAGGTGGACTTCCAACTGTGCGGTCTGGGCCTGTAGATTAATTCTGTTCACGAACATTTGCTGACCTGCCAGCAAAACGTGCTAGACGGTGTCCCAAGGGGAGCCCCAGGGGGGGTCGTGAGCAGCGGTCTCTGCAATGACAGGGCCTGGGCCCTTGCAAGGGGTCTGAGCAAGCCGGAGTAGGACACGGGTGAAGTCACAAGTCTGAACTCAGGAAAGCACACCCAGAACAGCTGTCCACGGCCTGCCGGCAAGTTCTGAGAGCCAGGCCTGACCCGGCCTTCCGCCTCCAGGCTTTCCTCCCCGCCCAGACAGATGTACCAGAAACCTCTATGCATACTACACAGGCTTCTGAACATGCAGGGGATGGCTTTCCCAGAGCTTTCTAGCAGATGTTATCTGGGCCCTGGGATAAAGAAAACAGTTTACAAATTTCTTTGTATTTGTGCAGGGCCCGCCTGGACCCCCTGGACCAAAAGGACAGCCAGTAAGTGGGTTATGGGGGGGGCCGGGGGGGGGCCCGGGGGGGTGCTTACATTCTTGTGCGTACCCTTCTTGACCGTAGAACTACTTGGTGGACAACAGCGTATTATTTCGTGATGAGAACAATTTTGTCGGTTTTTAGGACTTAATGTTATAAATGCCAAAGACGAATCCAGGTACCTCTGCAGTGGTTGGCACATCGCTAAGTGGATACAGCGCATGACTTGTTGTTTGCAAATCACATAACACCTGCCGTTGTGTGAAAATCGCGCTGATGGACGCTTGATTGGAAATGCAGATGCAGGAGCAGCTCCAGTTTGTGTGAATGCACAGGAAGGGACAAAATGTGACTGTATCTGTGTGGGGCGACCAGTGGCATCCTTCTCACCCAGATGTGACCAGGCTGTTTGTGCCCGAGGGTGAGGTCGTCAGCCTCTGGGGATACAGTCAGGGATTTTCAAGTCAAGCTTGAGCCCAGAGCTGTGCTGTTCCCATCAGAGAAAGGTTATTAAGTTGGACGGAGCACAGGAAAGTAGGTGGCTTGTCAGAGCCTGTAGACAGAACTAGGGTTCAGTGTCACCGGGGTGAGCTGGGTAACCGCAAGACCAACAGCAGGAGTCTGTGATCAAGCCGTGACGTGTCAGAAGTGCTGGGCTGCCCTTACCAACGTTGAAAGACCATCCCGTGGCCCACACATTCCCCTGTCTGCCCCATGGAAACCTCATCTCTGTGACCTCCCGGGGACCTCGGCCGCCACCACCCCCAGGGCCCCCAGGCCCACCCCCCTGCTCCCATCACCTCTAACATGGCTTCTGGCTGGGGCTGGAGCTCATTAAGCCTGCTGCCCCCACCACTGGGCTCCCCACTGTCTTGTAGCCACGAGCAGGGTGGGAAAGGCTCAGAGCCAAGAGAAGCGGATATAGGACGGGCCAGCTAAGCCCCAGGGTCGCCTTAGATCCCCACTTGGCTGCAACACAAACAGCCCTCACCCTCTGCCAGGTCACTTCCTGGGGACTCGGACAACCAGCTCACAGGGCAGAGGGACGGCAGGGGCCCCAGCAAATCGCATTCTGATCTAGCCTGGCTGCATTTCTGTGCTTTGATTTCAGCTCCCAGCCAGGTGGGAAAGGAGCAAAAAAGCAAAAGTTAATTAAAGGCTTTGTTTTTATTTTTGGAGAATATCTGGGTACGGGAGGGGGCGGGCGGGATACTGCCGAGAGAAAGACCAGATAGGGCCCCACGTGATCCTTTGTCGCGGCGGGCCTGTGGAGACCCTGGGGAGGAAGCAGAGTTGTTTGCAGGCCAAAGAAAAGAGCACGATTTCTATAATCTGTGTAAGTGTGGAGGGCAGCTTCTTGTCGGGCTTATCCTGGGCTTCAGGGTCAAGTCTGTTCTCCAACATATGTCCACCCCCCTCGTGAATCTACTGAGTCCTTGCTAAGTCGGGGCCCAACCCAGAGAATCACCATCCCCTAAAATCATTAAAAGGATCGAAGTGTTTGTGAAATTAGGATTATCTTACCAAAATGAGAAAAAGCTGAGCAGAAGGGACACTGAATCATGATCCTCGGATACGGGATCCATGGGGAGATGGCTGCTTCCCGGGTCTGTCGGGCTGGACTTGAAGACACGCTCTGAGACCATCATCTCTGCAGATGACAGGTGTCCGAACGAGTCCACGGGACCCGGGAGCAGGTCTGAGCTCCGCCACGCACCTGCGGTGAGGACACGAGCTCCGACCGCCCATGGCATCCACGTTCATCGTGCGGCCGGGGGCTCGACGGTCGCAGAGCACTAGCTCACACAGCAAGTGCAGAATTAATGACTCAGCCAACAGCCCGATCCTCGGGATGGTTGAACAACAAACTAAAATATTCTCCAATGTTAGCCCACTATTTTCGAGGTTTTGCTTAGAGTATAAAGTACAGATTTCTCAAAAGCACGTGTGTGTTAAAGAACAGCACTTCGTGTTTCTGCTCCCCATCGTTTTCATCACTCAGACCTAATCTCGGGGAATGCGCAGAAGGCGCTGGAAAGTGCTGCTTTCTGCAACCCCACGTGACCCCAGCCTGCCCCAGTTCACATAACGTTACACCTGTTACGTGGTCTATATGTGGAACTCGCAAAAGGAGACACATTCACTTTCTTTTGTGTCAGATAGCTTTGGGGAGGGGACTCTGGAATATTCTGCAAGGAAAATCGTTCAGTATGCTGCAAGCAGATCTTACATTTCTTTTTCTTAAAAAAAAAAAGTATTTCACTGTGATGAACGACTTTTAAAAACTTAGAAAAATCATTCTCTTTTCAGGGCAACAGAGGACTTGGCTTTTATGGAGAAAAGGGTGAAAAGGTAAGGAAACCTAAGAGATTAAAGCGGAGGCCTGCTTAGCAATTAGGAAATAAATCCTTTTAACGACAGTTTTCCATGCGGTTGTCTGGGCCATTTGCATAGGAAACCATCACTGTAAAGTGCCGGGCTGCGGAAGGGGCTTCAGTGATAGCGACAGGTCGCTGAGACGGTGAGAGCCCGCAGGATAGGTTAGCCCCGGCCGGACCTCTGACGCAGACATGACCTTGGCCGTCTGCAGCACCCACAGAGTAAAGGCGCTGCCCCGAGGTGTCCCAACGCGGCGACCCTCGAGCTGATTGAGCAGACTGAGGCGGGAACCAGAGGCCAACATGGAGCCCGTGTAGGGCAGACGGCCCGGCCCGGCCGGGCTCACAGGCGAGCAGGAAGACCGCGTGGGTGTCTGTAATGGTCTGCGCTGCCGCAGGCAGAGACCGTGGGCCTTTGCGAGCATCACCTGAGGCCACATGTGTGAAAAGCTCAGCAGGCAAAGCCTCACCAACACGTCACCCATCGCCTTCACCACAAAACCTCCGGCCCACCGTGAAATACCTTTGTTCTGTGGCCTCGTTGTTGGCATGAATATCAAAAAAATGTAATTTGTGCACATTTTTTGGCTTTTTAAAAAAAATGAATTGATGTCTTGTTTTATAAATTTTCTGTATTTATTAGGAGAACATTTTTATCGCCTCATCTTTACCAACCATGTAATAAGCCTCATAGCTTTCCAACAGAGCTACTTGCCAAACAGTTTTTTGCTTATTAAACCATGCTGAAACAAACAATAACAACTAAACATCAGCATTTACTTAAAATTTTAAGAATGAGGACTTCTGATTAGCCTGAGCCAAGATACTGTATTACCTATATGCATTCCCAAAGTCTAGACACTTGATACGTTCAATCATACCTTCTTCCAAAATCAGTGAACTAATTACTCCTTTTTTGATATTCATTGTACATTTATCAACCCAGTTTATCTTGTCCTTAAGTCTACTGTAGAAGGGAACTATATCTGTTAAAACATAGGGATTATCATTGTATACATATATATGTGCAATTTGTAATGTATTCTGTGTTGTAGGTTTATTATTTAATTTCACCACTTCATCACTTTTGTACAGTGGCCAAGCAGATACCTCAAACTCCAGCGTTTACGTTAAGTGCATTTGCACATTTTAGGCCCACTGGATCCAGATTTTATATTGGCAGTTACTGAGGGCAAAAGCAATATATTGTAACAGAACGTATAATTATTTTTGATAAAACAGTCTATATTTTATAAAAACTATTATAACACTAAAGCTGTACCTCAAAAGTCTCAAAAATAATTTGATCAAATACTTTTTACAACTTTTCAGAGGATCCATTTGTGGCTTTTTTAATGCTCTTATAGGAAAGTCTTTTGGCAAGCCATGACTCTTTCACTTGCCTGGAGTTTTTTGGGTTTTTTGTTGTTGTTGTTAGTTTTTGCATTCTTTTCCTGCTAGTCTATGACTTCACTGCTTTTCCTTAGTTCAGTAATAACATCCTTGATTCTGTGCTGAGCGTGTTAGGGTCATCATATCTCAGGAATAGCAAGTTGTTAACTAACCATACTGAATTAACCATTTAATCACAGTGACCTCATGTCTTAAAAATTGTTCAAATTTAAATTCTATGAGAAACATAAAAGCACACTGATTTATAGAAAGTTTATAAATATTTCAGCCTTGAAAAAAAATGCCAACTGAAGAAGCTTGAGCTATTTTATTTATTGAAGATGCTACTTTTTATAATATAAAAATACCCTTAACTGATGAAACAGTGGTGAAACTGGGGTGGTCTTTCATTTCTTAGGCTTTTCTTATACCTTGGCCCCAATCTTGGAAAGCATTAGAGTAATACGTTGACATGAAGATATTTAGCCCTTGTATAGAAATTCATCATAAGGAAGTAAATCCGCAGAAGCAAATGCAACCCAAACTTCTGAACAACCTAAACACCTTTTATGAATAAATTATAAATGATTATAAATGCAGGGGGACACACATAATTTTGCATTGTGATCATTTTATTTTATACTGCGATTATAACATTATAAAATTGATGTACTTGTGGAAAACAATATGCAAAAATAGAAACAGCAGTTTGTGGTGGTGCTTTTATTCACACTCAAGAGTGTCTTTCCAATTTAAAGGTCACTGTTTTTGCTAAACCATTCACAGGGCGACATGGGACTGCCGGGACCCAATGGGATTCCATCGGACACCCACCATGCCATCATCGGACCCATGAAGGAAATGTTCCACCCAGATCAATATAAGGTAAAGAGGCTTCAGCAAAATTGACTGTATTCCCAATAGAACTAAAATAAGGAGAAGAAAAAAAAAAAAAAGGAACTTTCTTCAATCTTTTTAAAACAATCACAGAGCCAGAGCCCTCACCATCCAACTGGTACGTCGTGCAGGAGAACACTCCCCACAATCACATGGGTGCACCCATCCCTCATCTTCAAAAGTTGTGACAAATTTGAGACAATACGAGAATTCATGAAACAATCTCGAATATGTATGCAGATCCTTGTGCAGGCGTAGGTTAGTGGTCAGAGCATAATTCAAAGCCAGGATATGGAACTATTTGAGCAAAATGTTGTATTTGGCAAAATAAACCTACTTTTACTCTTTGCTGACATGGAGCATTGTTGTGGGTGTTTTTGCATCAAAGTCAGTTTTCTGACTTTTATAATTCCATTAATATTTTGTCTGATAAAAAGTATAGTCTTGGAGTCTAAAACCCCCCACTTTACCACTCATTCACTCAGACAGGCCACTGAACCACACAAGTGTTCGAGCGCCCTTGTGCCCAATGAAGATGGTAACACCGACCTCGTATTGCTGAGGAGTGGAGACCACAGTGAAAACCCCAGATTAGGTCGGGCACAGACAGTGCCTGGGAACCAAAGTGAAAACCCCAAACAGAATCTAATTCCAGCTCCCAAGTATCTGTCCGGATGCGGATTGGGTGCACGGCCATGGGTGGGAGAAGGCAGGCCTCAGGGAGCTGTGCCTGAGCTGTCCCGGAATGCAGGGAAAATGCGTCAGGAGCAGGCGGTCGTGAGCCAGCTGAGTTTAGAACAGGACGCCCCTGGACAACCAGGCAGGAGGGGGGCCCCATCCAGTCATAGGTGGGATCCAGGCAGGACTCTGGCTCCTGATGGTGCCCTGACCGTCAGCCAGGTTTCCAGTCTCGGGATGGGCGCCAAGGATGGATCGAGACCAGAGCAGGTTGAATCGATGTGAGGTGCTCAAGCTTGCACCTCACATTTCCTTCATCTTCTGCAACCAGGGTGGACTGGGGCCGGGGCCCGGCCAGCCTGCGGGAGGCTGCCACAGGGGGACGGGGATCCTGGGCACTGTCCCAGCAGAGATGGGAAAGGAGCCCAGTTGGTCACTACGTTTTTTCATATAAATGAAAGATCTTTCAGATCATATAAAATTAACACTGCTTTCCAAATAAAGTCTCTTTTGCTTGGGACACATACAAAATGTGTCTTTTTCTCAGAGGACCCACCTAAGAATATCTTATTCAAACAAATATTCTGGTCAGGGGCTGTATGCTCCAACACAGCACGTCCGGTCTGCCTGCCGCTGGGGTTGGGGGAAGACCCAGCGACCCCACGCAGAGAAGACAGGCAGCCTCACAATCGTGTGAAACATAACACGTGATTTAACGGCTAATGTGAAGATCCAAAAGAAAGCGCACCTTTTTTCTCTTGAATTTTGAAGCTGCAAAGTGTAGGAGTTGTTTATTCTGATGCATTTATAATCATTGTTTACGGTTTCACTAAATACTTCCGGGGACCACAAACCCTGATCCGTCGTTTCTATTCTTGAATTAACGGCCTGCCTTACATTTCATTGTCTTCACAGGGTGAAAAGGGGAGTGATGGGGAGCCGGGAGTAAAAGTAAGTTGAGCAGTCGCTCCTCACTGGGGGGCCCCCAGCTCTCCGTGTCCCCACGCGCTCTGGCAGAATCCACCTGTTACTCCAAGCCACGCTCGCTTTGCTGCCTCCTTTCAGAAAACGGTTTTAGACTATCTTCCCTTTTGCATCACAAACACCAGCTAAACAACATTTCCTGGGGTTCATGAACAGAACCTCAGTGCGTCCAGAGCGCAGGTGTGGGGCTCGAGGCCCCGGCAGGTTTGGCGGTGGCTTCCATTCTGGGTGCAGCGCATGATGCCCTGCTGTCTCGTCCTTGTCACGCCTGCCCCGTGTTCCCAGCCCTCCCGGCGTCACCGGCTACGTGACGATGCCAGTGGGGTCCAGGACTGACGATAATCCAGGCCTGGCCGACTCTCTGTGACCCTGTGTGGCGCTGGGGTGGACCGGGGGCCCCAGGAGGCAGGCTGGCCAGTGGGGGGGCTGGAACCCCCAAGCGGGGGAAGCGTGACGGGCCGGCTGCCTGACATCTCTGTTCTCTCCTAGGGCATATCCTTGAAGGGAGAAGAAGGAGTCATGGGTTTTTCAGGCCCACGGGTAAGCTTGCGTTCTGTAACTGCGGTTTGTTTGGTGTGTGTTTTAAGCAGACTGCATCTTTCAGAGCAGTTGTGGGTTCCCTGTGAGGTTGAGGTAAAGGTACAGAGATGTCGCGTATGCCCTCCCTCCCCCCACCTTGCACAGCCTCCCCCCTCCCAGCGGCCCGACCAGAGTGGCCCCCAGGGACTGCCGTCTGAGATTGTGCCCCCCCCATCGGAGGAAGGCGGGAGCAGAACAGAGACCTCACCACTTCTGTCAGGGAGGCTAACCGAACCTGTGCGGACAACCCTGTGGACTGGCTCCAACACAAGAACGTGATTCTTGTTTCCCTGAGAGTCCAACAGAAGTGTCCCTAGCAGGACGGGGGGGTCAGGGGAGTGTCTCCCCCAGGGAGATTCAGCACCTGTGGCTCCATGCCCAAGGGCACACCTCCTCCTTCGGAGTGTGGCCTGAAATGACACCTGCCACTTCTGCCCTCCCTCCATCGGCCAGACCTTGGTCACCTGCCCAGCCGAGCGACAGGGAGCTGGGAAGCATGGCCAGAGCCATGGCCAGAACAGAGAAGGCGGCCTGGTGGTGACTCTCTGGTAGGCGCTACCACTAAGACACACGTTAGAATCTTCGAAAATAGGAAGAGACTCCCGAGAATGATGGAGTGCAGGCCTTGCTCTGTCTCTGCTGGTTGAACCCTACTGTCCTTATCAATTTCTCCATATTTCCTTAAGGGGCAGATATGATGCATTGCGTGAAAGTGTCGCTAAAATGACCCACCTCCTTTAGAAAATAAAAAGAATCTCCGGATGGCTTTGCGATTTCCTAGTAGAGTGTTTTCTGTTAGCCTGCATCAGGGCCATAACCGTGCCATCCGGAAAACGTGGCTGCGTGTTCTGAGCTGGTGCTCCTCTTTTCTGTTCCATCCAGGGTGCTGCTGGCTTCGATGGTGAGAAAGGTTCTCCGGGACAAAAAGTAAGTCGGATGCACGAAACACAATCTGCCCCGGGGCTGACACATCTTACAAAGGTCAAACATTATGAAGACTGTGCTATCCCAGGGAAAGAAACTGTGCCCCAGAAAAACACATTTAAAACCCTGCATAAATCATCCTTCCTCCCAGATCATTCGCAATGCCCGAGTCAGACCACTCACCTTTTTGCTCACCTTTGCAAACTGGCGTGTTGGTTCTGTCCTTTGGCAGCGGCCCCTGCGTCACGGGGCACCACTCTTGGGAAAGTTGCCGATGTGGCGGCCGAGTGTCTACCTGCATTTTTCATATGTTGATCTCACACATTTTGACACTGTATCTTCGATGATGACCCGATTGGTTATTTTCATTCTGTGTTCCGTGGACAGATTTTTGGCAGTTTTTTAAAAGGAATTGTTAGATGAGAAATGTGTTCTGAATCTGGATCAGACTTAGGATTGTCTGAGCGCTTGGTCATCTGAGAGGGTACGTGTAGAAATAGTTCTCTTAGTGAGTAATGAGGTTCCCTATTTACTGTTTTTGGTGATTCTCCTTCCCGTTGTGGAAGCCAGCACTCTCCCAGCTCTGTGGGCATTGTTTCGGATGCCCGCGAGCCCCCAGAGGACATGCATCTGCACCTGCATGTAATTGCATGGGGAATAGCGCACCTCCACCACTCTGCCATCTGGTTTTTTCGGCACCGTTCTTGGAGATAACCCCATGCGAGCGCATCCACGTCCACATAGTTCTGTGCAGCTTGTGAAGCGGCAGGACGAGGATGCAACGTGTGTGCACAAGACCCCTCGCCAGGCCTCCCACTACTTGCCATGAGCAACCATCACACCGTCCTCGTTACAGTGCATGCCTCTCGGGGCCCATGGGCTCGCGTGTCCCTCATTCAGGCCTGGTAGGTGTCTAGAAATAGACTTTAAAAATCGACTCAGCCTCTGAATCAGGACTCCATTGAATCCTGCTCGTGGCTCCATCGCAGGATGGTGGTGGGACTTTAGGAGAACCAGAAGGATGTGGGGCTCATCCATGTCCCGCGGGGAGCTCCCTCTGTCTATCTGGGGACTGCAGATGGCCTTGGCCTCCCAGCCTTGGTTTCCAACCTTGCTGGTTCTGGGCACAGCCCTGTGAGCCCTCCGCATGGGCTCTGACCACTCGCAATGGGACCAGCCTTGATTCCTTCCTGCAGCCTTGGCTGGTCTTCTTCCCGTTTCTGTCCTTTTATCCCAAACTCAGGCCAGGGAGCTGACACCAGGGTTTCCCTAATGACACCCATTTCTCATGACATTAGGAACTGGTAGGGGTATCCCCAAGGGCAGGGTACCTGGAGGACAGCTGTCCAGGCTGTACCCCAACAAAGGCCAGAAAGCCAAGTTCCAGTGTTCAGGATTTCAGTAATCAAGTGAAGGGACAGAGGACTAAGCAAACGTGAGCATCTGTAAGTAATCTGTCTCCACCCACCAACATAACTGAAGTGCTGTTGCTAATACTTTCATTGCTGGCCATGTGCTAGTGAAGTGACAGTTATGATTTTTTTCTACACCCAACACTAACGAGTTATAGGCTTTTAAAGAGCAGTTGCACACGGCGGCCCCCTGGAACTCATTGTTTCTGTGAGACAAGATGCTCGGCAGACACCACCTGGGGCCTCTCCCTGCTGCGGCCAGATGGGAGGACCGACGGCCCACAGCCTCCAGGGGATGACGGGGACACTTCCGGGCGAGCAGGATGTCTCTGTGGGGAGACAGTTTACTCGACTGTACAAATAGGAAATGCCTGGGACACACACGAATGGCGAGTCACCTGCTTGTCAGCCCGCGCGGCATCTCAGACATGACCGCTGGGCGCCCTCCTCCTGGACAAGTTGCTGTTATTCCTGACTGGCTGTCCAGTTACTAATCCAGTCCCCAGATAATTCCTCCTTGACCACGCACCCCTTGCTTCCCCCGCCCTGTTGTCATGTCTGCACCTAGAAACACAAAGAGAACCCGTTAGCTGCCAGGGGTCTCAGATGAGCCACGAGTGCGAGTTTTCCCCTTTACTCTGCTGAGTCATACTCGGTGGGCTAATACTCGGCCCACCCCCACCCCCAGTCAATTCCCCTGCTGCTGAGAACTCACAGCAAAACTTCTAGATCGTTGTGTTGGCTTTGGGATTACATCTGCCAGTAGTCTCAGCAAGAGGACCCCTGAGCGCTTCAACTGTGCCCTTTCTCCTCTTGGTTTTCCGGAATAGCCGGTTCATTCCAAACCACTCGGACAAACTTCAGAAGTGTTGGTGCTGTTTTGGCGCATTCGACACGGGGGGTGAGCATGTCGTGTGGGGGGGGGGTGCTGCTCGGTGATGACATCACACCCAGTGGATGACACTCGGGCCACAGGGCGACAGGCACGTTTGGGGCGTCCCGCGCCGTGTCTGGGCTGGATTGTTTTTGCTGGGCGCACGCGCAGCTCAGACCGAGCACCTCATTGCCCGCTCCTGTCCCTGGCAAGCTCCTGCAGGAGTCCTTGCCTATCTGAGAGCTGGCCTCAAAGGAGGTCCATTTAGCGTCAGAGACGTTTGCCTTCGCTTCTGAATCTGCAGCTCCACCTAGTGTGAAAGGAAACCAATCTGTCCGCATCAAAGGCCTGCCACGAAAAGTGACATTACGGCCGTCCGTGTTCATCCCAGACAGCAGGACTTCCAGCATACGTGCTCTGGTGTTTCACAGTAACCCGTGAAATAATCAGAGTGGCACCTGGCACTGGCACATAGTCTTTAGCAAGAGGGAATGAATTTCTAGATTTGGTAAAAAGCTTTACGGTGTATCTCCATCCATGATGCGCTCAGGAGGGTGAGCGTTCTCCTTCAATAAACACTCAAGGGAATTAGAAAGCAGTCCTTTGCCCTTTTTAAATGAAGAGAAAAATTCTAAATTAAGAAGCGTTAATGCTTCTGTTTGGCGTTAACTAAAAGTTTTCAAAGCCCACCTTGGGGGAAGGTTTTACTAGATGGTCAATCATAAGGTCAGTGACATGGGGCCTCCGGGCCTCCTGAAGGACGCAGTGGGAAGGACGCAGCAGCCTCTGTAAACAATTCCTGCTCAGAAGGTGAACCTGAGGGGCGCCTGGGTGGCTCAGTCGTTCAGCGTCTGCCTTCGGCTCAGGTCATGATCCCGGGGTCCTGGAATCGAGCCCCGCATCGGGCTCCCTGCTCTGCGGGAAGCCTGCTTCTCCCTCTCCCACTCCCCCTGCTTGTGTTCCTT